AGGTTTACTAGCACCGGAGGGACAGGTGTGTGTGTGTGTGTGTGTGTGTGTGTGTGTGTGTGTGTGTGTGTAGGGGTACTACCCCCAGAGGGATAAGTGTGTGTGTGGGGGGGATGTGGGCGGGTGCTGTGTCTGGATTGGACAAAGACAGTAGCAGGTGTTTCTGCAGGAATTGTTTTTAAGGAGAAAAGGGAGAAATGTGTGCTAGGGAGAGTTGCTAAGACCTGATTAGATCTGTTAGCCAGTGTAGCCAAACAATGAATTTTGGTAGTGGGACCTTTATGTTTTTGTTAACTGGACCTTGAAGTTTTGGTCAGGCATAATGAAGAAGTCGAATAAGGGAACGGATTTTGGTGGCTAGCTTTAGGAATATCATCTGAGAGCTTACTAAGAGAAAGGGGGAAGGGAGAGGACAAGATCTGCCTGCCCCATGTTTGCCAAGCGTGGGCCTGTTTGAGGGCCCCTCACTTATAGTTCCCACCACACCCCCACTCTGCAGGCCTTACGTAGATCCATGTGAAATTAAATTAAATTAAAATTACCTTTGGCAAAAATCTCTCTGCTGTTGTTTAGGTTGGCCACAGAAAACTGCCACGGCATCCAAAAGATGCCAATCAGAATGTCTTTATCCCTCCTTGTACTCAGGAAGACTGATGATGTCCACGGGGACACAGGTGGGCCACTAGCTATGACAGCTGAACTCTGGTCAGGAAGAACCATGCCAACAAAGGTTTCAAGAGTTTAGGCGACAAAGGGAAGAACAGAAAATGTTTCAAGGACAGAGCCCAGCTAATTTCTGTTGGATTTTTTTTTTAAATGAAATCTAAGGGGGCCTGGAGGGATTAGCTTGGCGGTTAAGGGCACAGACTGCTCTTTCAGGAAACCCGAGTTCAATTCCCAGCACCCACATGGCAGCTCACAACTGTCTGTAACTCCAAGATCTGACACCCTCACACAGACAAAATACCAATGCATATAAAATAAAAAAATGAAATACAAGTATGTAGGACAACTCAGGTATTGGGAAAAAATAAACAGTGTGAACTCTTACATAGAAACTCTGATAGTCTGTTCCCTGGTGGGCACCAAATACGTAAATCATCAATAAATCATCGTGAATTTTTTGTTAATTAAAAACATTGTCAATTAAAAACATTGAGGAGGGTCTCATATAGCCCAGGCTGGCCTTAACCTCTTTAGGTAACCTCCTGCTTCCAATTCCCCTGTGGCCACACTTGACAAATATTTGGGTTTTCTTTTCAGGGAGAAAAAAAAGCACGCAGTAGGCTCTCCTGCTCCCACCTCTCTTTCCAGACAGGGTCTTCCTGTGTTGTCCAAACTACAAGCTGCACTGAAAATTGCCTGTGTAGCCAGGCTTACCTTGAACTTATGATCCTCTCATTTTACCCTCTATAATGCTGAGATTATCGCCCTGTGCCACTCACACCCTGTGGCCTCCTGTCACCACTTCCTTTTTCTTGCTACACCTGAGGCCTCTGAATCAAGTCAGAACGACAACGGGTTTTGTTTTGTTTTTTATTTTTCGAAACAGGGTTTCTCTGTGTAGCTGGCTGTCCCGGAACTCCCTCTGAGACCCAGCTGATCTCCATCCCTTGACTAGGAGCATCATAATCTCAAGGCATTTTGGGCACTTGAACAATACCATGTCTAAAAATAAAAATTAATCCGGGCGTTGGTGGCGCACGCCTTTAATCCCAGCCAGACACAGGCAGATCTCTGTGAGTTCGAGCCTGGTCTACCGATGGAGTTCCAGGACAGTCTCCAAAACAATACAGAGAAACCCTGTCTCGAAAAACCAAAAAGAAAAATAAATAAATAAAATAAAATAAAAATAAAACAATGCCCTATCATTTCTCATTTTAATGTGCCTCCAATGCCACTCCCCATTCTTACATTGCAGTTTAAGAATGTGATCTCTGAATATCTTAGCTTATTTAGGTCCCAAAGTTGGGACTCTCAATTCTCTAGCTGTAATACAGTCCTTGACTGTTTCTCTCTCATTTTCAATTCTGAAAATTCAAACTGCATTGTGAATACCCGTTTTTTACTTTGGGGCTCTGTGAGACTGTAACAAGTGTGAGCCTCAACTCCAAGTCCTTTTCTCAGTGAGCTCTGCTGGGTTGCTATGGTTCTGCACAGAGTGCTCTTTAATTCTAATCTTTGCATTTCCCTCTAGAAAATCTCAAAGGTGCAGGCAGCCGTTGGAAGCTGAGCTCACACCAGCAAACTCAAGCACAAAGCAGAGAACTTGAAACTCTCAAAGCAGGCCTCTGGTGGGTGATATACACTGTTCCAACAAAGCCACACCTCCACAAATTCACCAAACAAGACCAACAGGGGACCCAGTTAACTATCCAAATGGCCAAAACTATGGGGATGTGTTGTTGTCCCCTCCCCCCACCCCCACAGGGTTTCTCTAGCTTTGGAAGCTGTTCTGGAACTCAGTAGACCAGGCTGGCCTTGAACTCACAGAAATCCACCTGATTAAAGGTATGCGTTATCGCCGGGCGATATGCGGGAGGGAGGGAGGGGGGGTTTCAGGTGATGGTGACCCATACCTTTTTTTTTTTTTTTTTTTTTTTTTTGGTTTTTCGAGACAGGGCTTTCCTGTATGATTTTGGAGGTTGTCCTGGAACTGGATCTGTAGACCAGGCTGGCCTTGAACTCACAGAGATCTGCCTGCCTCTGCCTCCCGAGTGCTGGGATCAAAGGTGTGCGCCACCAACGCCCGGTTTCCTCCGCATATTCTTATTCAACCACCACATTAAGTAACCCTTGCTATTCTGACACTGTCCATGCTGGCCTCCAAGAGATCTCCTTGCCCTCTGCCTCCCTAGGGCTGAGGATTACAGGTGACCATTGCCAAACTTGGCTCCCCTTTCTTTTCCGGCTCTTCCTGTCCAGTCACTTAATCAATCACTCCTTCACGCTTTACAAACTTGCTCAAAGGCCCAAGTATCCGGCTAAGCCACACCCACCTTTAAGTGTTTTGGCTTGGGCCTTACCTTCAGAGTCCCTTGGACTGACCTGACACATCATCCTAGAACAGTCCCAACCGGAAGAGATAAGAAGAATCTTCACATAGAATCTTTGGGAGTGTCTACATACATATCAATGCTAATCACCTAGTCTAGCCCTGTGGTTGATGTAATACTCTGCTGGCTTTCAACTCTATTGAATTTTTTTGGGGGTGGGTGGGTGGATGCGTAGGGTCTCATGTGGCCCAAAATACCCAGGAATTTGCTGCTTAGCCAAAGATGACCTCCAACTCCTGATTCTCCTATGTCCCAAATGTTGGAATTATAGGCATAGGTTATCATGCAGGCTTTATATTTGTTTTAAAAAACCATGTGTGTGGGTGGGGCTGCTTCCCTGTGAGCAGGTGCATGTGGAGGTCAGAGATTGGCTTAAGGATGTCATTCTTCAAGACTTCTCCATCTTCCTTTTTTTGTTTTTTTATTTTTTTGTTTTTCGAGACAGGGTTTCTCTGTGTAGCTTTGGAGGCTGTTCTGGAACTCGATTTGTAGACCAGGCTGGTCTTGAACTCACAGAGATCCGACTGCCTCTGCCTCGCAAGTGCTGGGATTAAAGGCATGGGCCACCTTATTTACAGAAAAATTTCTTCCAGTCCCCTCTTGTAAAGACCAAAGTTTTCTACGTTTGATGAGGGCTCCCCTTCACACACGTCAGTAGGTGAGGAAATGCACTTCGCAGAAGGCATTTTCTTTCTGGTCCTAATTTTTTTTTTTTTTTTTGGTTTTTCGAGACAGGGTTTCTCTGTGGCTTTGGAGGCTGTCCTGGAACTCGCTTAGTAGTCCAGGCTGGTCTCGAACTCACAGAGATCCGCCTGCCTCTGCCTCCCGAGTGCTGGGATTAAAGGCGTGCGCCACCAACGCCCGGCTTTCTGGTCCTAATGTACATCTTTAAACTAATCCATTGTTAGCTGGGTCACAGCCTTTAATCCCAGAGTTCCTGAAGCAGAGGCAGGCGGATTTCTGAGTTTCACAGCCAGCCTAGATTGCAGAGGGAGTTCCAGGACAGCAGGAGTACGCAGAGAAATCCTGTCTTGAGAAACCAAAAAAACATTAAAATAGGTTGTTGATCACTATCTTTTGTTTATGACTGGATCCAAATATTATTCGGTACCATATTGTCTCTCACTTCATTCACCCTTTTAGGAACGGAAATTACTATCTTCCAGGAAAATAAGAGGGGTATATGGGAAAGGTAAGGTTAAAACGGTGTTGTTGTGAGCCTAGTGTTGGAGGGATAGACATGGCATTCACCCCTCTCCTACGTTAATTAATCTGTTCTTCCTAATTGGACAAGAATAAAGCAGAACTAAAGCAAGCATACAGATAAAGTTTTGGCAATAGACCAGCACGCCTAATTCTGTATGCCAAATTCCCTCCCTCCTTTGTTCACTAATAGACCCCTCCATCTAACTCTTCTTTGCCCTTCCACTTCCGCCTCCTAAGTCACCCTAGACTTCCCAGGTCTTCATCTTCAGCATCCAGTCTGCATGTGATCTAAAGGCTCCGCGGGCCAGCTGGCCCCGCGCTCAACGGGAGTCCACGCCCAGGTTGCACGGTGGAGGTGGTCTCAAAGGGTACTTCGGGGTCGGGGAGGCGAGCTAGCCTGAAGTGATCCTCACACGTTCATTTGCCAGGAGTGCTCATGCGAGAGTTCTGGCAGGTTTTGCTATTTCCCAATTGTTTACTCGCCAAGCTTTCGGGTCCACGCGCCTCCCAGCTGCGCCTCGCACGCTGAACTTCATTCAAAGGCCAGGCAGGGCGGCCCACGAGGTTGCGAATGGGTTTGTGGATGACCTCCAGGCTACTTCCTCCCTCCTGGCGCCCTTCCCCCCACTCCTCCAACCACCTCTGGTAAACAAAACTGTCCCCCAGGGCGAGGGGAGGTCTTGCTCTTCTGCGCCCTCTCGCGCAAAGGGTTAATTTTTCCGATCGCACGAGGGGGAGGAGATTTCCCTGTAGACGAGTAAAAAGCGTGATGGACAAACGTGCGGGCACTAAGACCGCAAGGCATTCATTTCCTCCTACGGTGGATGCGGACGCCGGGAGGAGAGCCCCTGAGCCAGGAGCTGGGAGCTGAGGCGCAGGCAATGCTCAACCCTGGATGTAGCTGAGAGGCTGGGGGAGAGATCGGCCAAGGAGACTGACGGCGGGGCCATACCTAGGGGGTGGGTGGGGGAAGCAGACAGGAGAGCACTCAAAATAAAAGGCTCTTTACAGATTTTTTTATTTTGTATAGAGAGCACGTAGCGACTCCGAAGATCAGCCCCAATGAACATGTCAGTGTTGACTTTACAAGAATATGAATTCGAAAAGCAGTTCAACGAGAATGAAGCCATCCAATGGATGCAGGAAAACTGGTAGGTGATGCTTTTCGCGTGCTACTGTTCCCGGGAGTGCATTCATGTCGGTATTCCCGGTCAGAGCGTGAGCGGAGCGATGGATTGCCAGCAGCAGCCAGCAAGCAGATCGAGGAGTTCTGAGTCTCATGTCTGCAGGAGTCTGAGGCTGCATGAAGCGTGCGGTTTGGGGGTGCCCTGTCTGAGCCGCGGCCACGCGGGCATCTTTGTGTAGATTATATAACGTAGAACATATAATATGTGTGCCTGGAGCGATATAGGGAGACGAGGGAGACATACTACAATCCCTACAATCCAGATACCCCACCTGTGCCGTCTCCAGGCTTTCGCCTAGATTTGGGGGTTTTGCTTGGCCTCCAGCAATTGGGGCGTGCTAGGCAGTGGAGGGAGGACCCGGTCTCCTCTCTCTTTAACCCTCTCCAACCCACCTCTCTATCTGGTCCTCTCCCCATCCCTCGTGTCCTTCCTTTCTCCTTGGAGTTCTCCCACTCAACTGCTCTCCCGACTGCCGCCCCCAGCCGTAGATGCCTGGGGTCTTCCCCACCCAGATTACTTTCCGGTTTCTTAAAGACGTCGGGCAAGAGGGGACAATGAAAACTGCAATAAAAATGAATGAACCCGAGCAAGTGGAGCCACGCCATTATTAAGTTTCTGTCTAAAGGAAACGCCTTTTGGACACACTTCTCAGTGAGGAGCGGCAGGAGTTTGGACATTAGAAAGCTCTAGCCAAAGAGTCGGGGGTGTGTGTGTGTGGGGTCCTTCACCAGAACTTCGAATCTGGGAAAACATATTGTTTACTATATTCCCTCCGTCAGTCTTTTGAAAAATGCCCGAGTGGGAGGCGATCCAGTGTCACCTTGCAATATTTAGCAAGGGAGGCCCCTCCTTCCCCGTAGACGGTGCTGTGGTGGTGGAGACGTTCCCCTCTCTCTAGTGCCTGCCCTGCGATCTCCCGCTGTGGAGCGGCCGGCCCTCCGGGGGCTTCCGGGCTCCGGGAGGTTCCGCTGCCGCGTGCGAGGGCGCTCGCGATCTGCTCCTTCCCTCCCTCCATTCATCAATGGGAAACCGGAGACGCTGGCGCGTCCGGGGCTAGGGCGGGTGGTAGAAGCCGGCGGCGGTGCTGGCGGCGGAGGCCGGGAGATCGACTTCCTCGGCCGGGCCGACGGCTTGTGGCCCCCGCCCCTTCGCGCCCACCCTTGGCCTTCAGCCGGCGAGTTGAGCCCCTGGGCGGTTTACGGTGGCGACCGGGCGGAGCCTGGCTCCGGGGCGCGCGAGTTGGGCTGCGGCATGGCGGCTGCCCGCGTGAGGCCCGAGCCCCGAGCTCCTAGCTCGGTGCTGTCGCTCATGTCTTCTGGGACGCCGAGGCCGGGGGTGCGAGCCTGGGTCTGGAGGGTGGTTGCACCCGCGCAGTCTAGATCGCCCCGTAAAGGGGCGGTCATAGGGAGGCCAGGTCTCTGCAGGAAGCCCAGCCCCTTCGGCCCGCGTTCAAGGGTCCTAGAGGTGCATTTCCACTTCCCTCTAGGGTCTTACTTAGGGACGGTGGAGGAGTAGGGGGCGAGAACAGCTCTTTAGCCTGCGGCTTCTAGCCTAGAATTCTCTGAGGTCACCACTGACCCCCGCCGCTCTGCTCTAGTCGCCCTTCTCCTGGAGCCGCGTTCTCCTAACGTGTTAGCACAGGCTACTAGCTGCATCCCCTTTGGGCCTGCCTTTCGGTGTCGCCTTTCCCAGCCTCTGCAGAAGCTTGGCACTCACTGTCTGACTTTCGTTACACCACCATAGTGAATGCTGTCTCTATTTGTCATCGTTCCCCCCCCCCACTACTTCCTGTGCCTGCCCCAGGATCATTTCCCGCCTCTTTATACAGATACTCAATAAGTGATAGCTACTCTGTCAGAACCACACAGGCCCCTGGACCTCAAGGGATTGAAAATGGCCCACATCACCTATTTCTTTTCTCTTGTTAGTGTTGATCAGTGTTCTTAGCTCTTGAATAGCCCCCCTTTTCCTGTCTCTGTTTTTACAGGGGGGTATGCACAGGTGTGCTTATGACTCCTAGCACATCATGGGCTGGTAAGGGCAAGGTTCTGCTTCCACCCCCTTGATTCCGCAAAGCGCTTAGCAGCATGCTTTTTTTTCGTGGCAGATGCTTGCTAAGGCCACTGATTGAAATGCTCACTTTGTGCCAATAGTACATGCCCATAACCATGCTGCTGGGAGTTCAGCATGCTTGGCTTCTCGCGGTTTGAATCCTGCTGTAGTCACACTGTAGAATGTATGCCCGCCCTGTCTTTTGATCTTTGACTTCGTATTCTTGATTGCTGTATGACCGTGGAAGGACCTACCCCTTCCTTGATGATCCTAATCTCTTTAGCTTTCTGTCTCATTATGTTTCCTTCACAGCCCAATTTTAGAACTCTCCCACCTGCTCTCAAGATAAAACCCAACAACCAAAATGTCTTGAACAAAATGAAGGATTTTTTTTTTAAGTTGTCATTAGACTGACGTTGTAAAGACTTAGACCCTCTTGAGAGGAGCGTGGAGGGCTTGAAAATCATGAAGGCTCATCTTAACTTGACCTGGTCCCTTTGAATGCTTTATAATAGCTTCTGGAAGAAAAACGTGTAGAGAAGCATCTGCCCTGCCTTTTGAGAACTTGTTTGTGTAACAGTTGTCTAAAATCTCTTACACGTAGTCTAAACAAAGTCAACTAATTATAACAGGTTCTCTATCGAGTGTGCTGCAAGGGATCTGAAGTCTTGGGGGACGTGCAGGCTTGGTGTTTTGCATCGCAGTGTCTGAGTGTACTAACTAGCATCTTTGAGTAATTGGAATTGGTAAATAAGGAATTGGGAAAACTTGCCCTGTGGTGTTTACCTTCGCTCTGGCAGCATCCATTCTTAGAATAGGGCTTTGGAGTGGTGTGTGCAAACTCTTGAGGGCTAGACTGAGGCAAGCTCGTGAAGTTGATTGCTGTTTTGAATGTTTAACCTGATACTCATTGGCCTAGATACTAAATATTATAGACTTTATTTTTGTAGTGAATAGTTTCATATTGACTGGAGTGGCAATTTCACTGCCAAGTAGAAAGTCTGCATTCCCTTGGAAAATCACCCCCCTGTTCTGTCTTGAAACTGCTTCCCAGTTAAAAATATCCTGGTGCCGTTTCTAACCATGAGGTAGAGGGAAATGCCTTAGCTCCAAAAAGCACTTTTGAACTGCAGTTTTTGATTGAAAGACCCTTAAACATTAACAGCGCTGACGTAGAGACATTTTTGTTCGTTTATGAGACGCCTGGCCTTTACCTGTGTGCTCACTACTAACCGCTGTCTCAGTTGGTAAATGCTGCTAGCTTGGGAGCACAGTCAGTCAGTCACCCAGCCGTCCTCCGCCTGGCTGGAAAGGAGACATAAACTTCATTGAGAAGGAAAGCAGGCTGTGCCTTCTCCCTTCTGCAGCCTGCCAGGTTTGTGCTAACGACCGTGGATGCTAGTTGCTCCGGTTGTAATTGTCTGACCAATGATGACTATCTTCTGATGTCGGCTGACACAGTGTTCACCAATGGGAAAGCAGGAGGCCTGTGCTGACTGCTGTAACATTATGTATGTGGGGTGATGTCATCAAAGGGCTTGCCTAGAACCTCATGAAGCCCTCCCCCCTCTCCTGGCATCCTCACACATCCAGCTCTCAGTGCTTTGTATGTTTTCCTGACTTTCTCCTCTCCTGTGGTGATTTCTAGAAGGCTTTTATTTTTCACATTTTCTGTTCTGTATTCTTGGGCTGTAAGATGAAGTTTTAGGATGAAATGCTATCCAGCAGGGGAAATATTTTTAGTTTTACTGAAGGGAGGATACTGATTTGTAAAAGGAGCTGCACATCTCTGAATTCTTCGGTATATGGAGTTTAAAACATAATGTGTCATAGCTGTCAGGGTTCTACACCATTATAAACTGGTGTCAGCTATAGACATTTTAAAAAAAATTTTCAGAGGGGCTGTTTTTCCTGTAGGAGCTCTAGAATTTTTCCTTGTGACTTGCTTGTGTTCATCTGAGGGTAACCATGACGTCCGTGGGCATGGGGTAGAATAGGTCAGAATTTTACTGGATAATTATTAGCATTACAGGAAATGTGATTTGGGTTGCCCATCTAGGAAAAATTTGTGTCCTCATTGATTCTGTATGTAGTTGCCCTTACTTTGATGGGGAGTCTAAGGAATCCTAACCTTTCCAGTGAACTTCAGTGCACGGGGTATAGGTGTCATACACGATAAGAGAGATAAGGCTCTCACTTTTATAGAGAAGAGAACCATAGTGCAACACAGAAAGTAATAAACGGCTTTGTGGGAACTTTGAACTGAACTTCCAAGTAGTCAGGTCTTTCCTTGTTCAGGGTTCCAGGGATGAAAGCCAGCTTAACACAGATCACTTCCTTATTCTGTTATCTATATGTTTGTGTGTGTTAGTGTATGGGGGTGAAGGGGAAGGTGTTTTTTTTTGTTTGTTTGTTTTTTTGCATACGACCTCTTGTTCAATTGTCGGTTTTGTTTCTGGAAATTTTCTGGTTGCCTTTTCATTGTTGATTCTCAAGGTGTCATGGTACACGTTAGATTTTAACCCCAAAGCCAACCCACTCCGCAGCCTACAATTGCTTTATATGTTTCCTTGAAAGAACACAGTCCAGGCCAGTGTGAGAGCTGCAGGAGGGAGGGAGGGAGGCCTTCCAGCACTGAAGAAGAAATAACCTACCCAGCCAGTCATCAGCCCGCAAAGAACAATGGCGATGTTCTATCTCAGTGATCCAAAGTATGTTAGGTCCACATACTTTCTGAAATTAGTTATCCAAAACATCTTGTCTTGGTGGTTTACTTAATCTTTCACATGGGGTTGGGTGAGCCTCGATACTCTGCCTCAGAGCTCCCTTCCGTTCCCTGCATTCAGATCTGCAGGCTCCCATTTGTCCCTCAGGATCTTTGGTAGGTGAACTCAGACATGTACTTAGAAAAG